ATTTTGCTTCTTCTGTTTCTTCTCAACTTCCTCCGTTCGATGCAACTGTTCTGATCCCATCAAGGAATAAGACCCTTGCTTCTTAATCTTGTCCATTTCCATCTTCTGCCGTTTATATTCAACTTGACCATCCCATGCATGAAAGACTTTTGGATTTCAAGTATCTTTTCTCTCTCCTGTTTGTCAAGTAACTTTTGGGCAAACTCCGGCTTAGTTATTTCTTTATAAAACTTTTTCTCCTCTTTGACATATTCTTATCTCCTTATATCCTCCAGATTATCATAGACCATCTTCTTACATCTCTCTTGATATTTAGCCTTTTCAGGAACATTTTTCTCCCTCTCGTCATGTACATATTCTGACCAAATGCCTGCACTAACTCTCTCACGTTTTTGCATTTGCATTACGACTTGTTTTTCTGCATTTTCAGTAACTTGTTTGTTGGGTTTCTGTTCTTTTTTTACATGACAAAGACTTTTTAAACTGTTTGTCATGTTTGTCTTTTCCATAAACCTCATTGGATTTAGCTGTGGACAAGTTGAGAGGTCTTACTCCATGTCTGTCAATTTGCAACAATGTTTTTGATTCATTTTTCTCCTGCTTGTCTTTCCAATTCTCCACATCCTGTGCGTAAACATTTTGTGGTCTAGGTCTCTGTTTCTTCTCCTGTAATTTGCAAACTGCAGCTTTGTGTCTTTCTTTCAACCCCTGTAATCTTCAAAATTCATTATCCCAGTCAATGCATGTCTGAATAACAATTCTGTCTTTCAAAGATGAAATGAAATGTGAGTTGAAGTCAACATTATAATCAGTATTGGTCGTGTTGTCAGGTTTGAAATGTTTTGTAATTTCAGGCAACTTTAAAATAAAGTCGCTTAAATACAATCCTCATCTTGAACTTTGACAATCTCGTTGAGTTCTTCATTTGGTACGATTGTCATCGTTTTTATCGAAGGGATAATCCTCCTGGGTAATCGATCCTCGTTTGTCTTTGAACTGAGTGCAACTCAGAAGTTTGTGCCTGTTGTCTTGACAGAGCATGCATGTTGGTTTAACATTTGGCCTTTGTTTTGTGCCTTCCGTTTCTGTTACCACTTGCGTATGGAGAACACTGGAGGTGGGCCTTTTTTCTTTCTGGTTAACTTTACTGGTTATTTTGGTGAAGTCTGTTGAGTGAAGAGCCTGAAATGAACTCAGTAAATGCCTTAAG